TTTTTTACAAACATTAAAAAAATTTGGTACCTAACACCAGAGGCTAGTGAGGTCGTCAGTGACTACCATGGCCTCACTAAAAAGACAAGGCACCGGTCAAAGCTGATCACCATGGCAGTCAACGTTAATGTTTGTTACCGTCGTAATGCGATCATGGTTTGCGAAATTTGAGTCACTTACCAGTACTGGTTACCAGACCGGTACCCAACCAAGGCTTCAAGTATTGATATTCAAGGCTCTTATCGATATGAGTGCTGCTATTGAGCAAGGGCTGCACCGCCTCTGCTGTATAGAGAAAGATAAAAGGCCGTAAACCGACCCAGACCAGAAACATGTCGCCAAATTCGTCCGCCCATTTTACCATCTTCTGGAAGAACTCTGAAACAGATAAATCACCCAGCGTGTTTTAGACGAATATATAAAGTGACGTTCTAATACGGTTAAAATACGCTTTGATTAATCACTAAAAATGGAAGTCGAAAAATTTAGTCTTATTGTTAGTAAAATATTTTACTAAATTCTCCACGTTTATTTCATAAGTTACTGTTGCATAATTGACAATTATACGCAATCAGATATCTGATATTCAGATATTTTCCACATATCATTTGCTGTGCGGGAATTAACAAAGACCTGTAAATCAGTGTGCGTTCGGAGGAAAGAATTGACCTAGTAATTACTGTTGCTACGTGCTATGTCGATTATACTTCCGTGCGGTTACACGGAACATTGAAGGCCTGTCTACATTGGAAGTAAGCAGTAAGAAGTAAGAAAATCTAACCTTTACCTTTCAGTGTAAAAGTTAAAGTACAGACATAATTTTTTTAAATATTTGTAGCACTGGTCGAACTGCGCTCTAATTCGCCGAGAGTAAGCGTCAGAGCTGAAGTAGAAGTAGGAAATGAAAATGATTCATTTCTTTACTCCTACTCTTACTTCTTACGCCAGGCTTACTTTATCTATTGTAGACGATCCTTGATACTTTCGGTACGATTCGCGCAATAGGAATTTTATCTATTGACATAACCCGAGATACGTATCTGTCTTAGAGTTCCCTAGTACACGTGCACTAGACTACAAGCGTAATCCGTGTATTTAACTTATCCGTTTTAACCCGTGTACACGAATTTAAAGAATCTTTATTTACGTGAATCCGTGAACACGTGAATGTGACACATGCATTCCAAGTTTTATCCAGATTTTGTCACATATTTCCCTGTTGAGGTATACACGGCTACACGGTTGCATATGTCACATACACGGATATTCGTGTACACGTGTCACGTTCACGGCTATTCGTGAACACGTGCCACATTCACGTGTTCACGGATTCGCGTACAAAATAAAGATTCTTTAAATTCGTGTACACGGGTTGAAACACGGATAAGTTAAATACACGGATTACACGTGTAGTTTAGTGCACGTGTACTCGGGAACTCTATAATACTGTATTAACCCACATAGCAAAATATAGCACTTGACCTAATCAGAGATTTAGTGATAGTCAATAATCCGTACTGCCCCTGAAAAATTCAGATATCTCCCCAGATTTCTGCTGTGTAATTAATAAACAGCAGGTGTTCCAGTGAGATTAGGTACTTCCCCGATAAAAATATCTTTCGAGTGTGATACTTAATAAAGATCTATAAATCAGCGCGATACTGCGTAAAAGAATTGGCCCACTGGTTACTGTTGCTACGCGGAAAAATCACATACGCTAAAATATAAAAATAGGAAAAGTTTAAAGTGATTAAAGAAACCTTTGCGTTCTTTTCACTGAAAAAAATAATCTTGCAACTGCAGCAGCAATTTCCTAGATACGAAAGCATAACTGAGATATATAAATGAATAGCCAATACTGCGAAATCGCATATGTTTTGTATTTAATCAATTTAAACGACAGAAACAGAATTTCTATCTGAACTGCTAGCGAATGTTGGAAAGAAAGTCTTTCTGTGACGCTCATTATAATTTGGGCATTAGGCCTTGCTGGGGCATTATAAAGATAAAATAAGACAACAAGATAAATAAGATAATAAATATTATAAGATAATAAACTTAAGTAATGCCCACTGGGCATTAGTAGGCATTGGTGTACATGATTTTGATCAGCGATTTACTACTCATATTCCTTACAAAGATTGTTCCAGCTATGGTACGGAAAGTCATTTTTATTCAACATGAATGATTAATATTTAGTCATGAAACCTAAACTTTTCAGAAGGTATCATTTGAATGTTGCTACTATAAATTTTGCAGGCTACAAACAATTTTCTAACAGATATATAAAATAGCGATAAATTTTTGTTGCAACACCTAGAAATCTGTCTGCGTTAATAAGATATTTTTTTGAGTGTTGCATCGAAAAATTATCTTTTGTAATAAATACATTAATATATATTTTCGATACACTCGCTAAACAATCTAAAGATAAATCTTCGATTTTTTTTCTTCACGAGGATAGGCATTTAATACACATTGAATGTGACGTATGTTATTGCATTTATGACATTTTCCGCGAGGATCATCTTCAATTATTCTCGCGGTCACCGACCCGCGACACCGTGCAGAAATAGACCTTCTACAGCTTCGTATCTGACCAATCATTATATTATTATTGCAGCTGTAGATTCGTTCTTACCGTTACAAACCGCGACCTTCGCGAGAACAAGAAAAGAAATGGTAATGAAAAAAAAATAGAAAAATAATGTAAATATATGCGATATAAATATAATGTGGAAAAGAAATAAAAAGAAAGACAGATAAAGAGGAAAATAAAGAGGGAAAGAAATATCAATTTGGAACAAGCCTCATCATAACGAGAAATGAAACCAGAACGATATGTTAGATAAAAAAAAGCTGCACGCGCGTGTATAGTTGCGCAAGAGAAATGATGTAAATAAAAGTGAATGAGAATATCCACTTTGCGCGACTTTTTAAATAACGGACTTTTAAATTTATTTGAAACAGAACTCAATTTACTTTATTTGAATACAAATTTATGTTTTGTGAATTAAAAATGTTCTCTTATATAATATATTTGAAAATACTTAAAGAGAAGTAGTTGGAGGAACAAAGAGAGAGAGAGAGAGAGAGAGAGAGAGAGAGAGAGGCGGGAAAGAGAAGATCAGATAAAAGAGAATCAAGAGCAATGGAAGAAGAGAGAAATCTGCACGTGCAGTAAGTTGACGGCCGAGAAGATGACCGGACATTGACCGGTTGAAAATGGACAGCGTATACCGCACAAAAAGCAAGCAGAGTGAGCGAGCGAGCGGGAAAGAGAGAGAGAGAGAGAGAGAGAGAGAGAGAGGGGGGGGGGGCAAAAAGAAAAAGTCGAAGCTCTGGAAGGTGTTGTCGAAGACCTTGGCATGTGAGACGCCAGGCGTCCTTTGGACAATGCAGTACTCTTTGACGGCTATTTCAGTACCGGATACCCTTCCCCCCTCGTCGCCCCAATCGTTGCCGCCGCAAGAATACATCGCGAAATTAAGTAAAACATAAGTAGGTATGACATAACGCACGAAATACCATGTGTATCATATAAAAGAAACGTAGATTGCATGTAGAATTTTTTTTAGTTAAAATAAATTTTGTTTAATCTTTAAATGATCCTTTTCATTTATTTAAGTTTTTTTATATATTTTTTAAATTGTGTTTTATTCACCTATATTTCATACAAGAACTGCACACACTAATAAATATCAATTAGCAATTACATAATAATTATAATATTATATTTTCATTTCTTACTCAACAATATGAATGTAATATACGGAGTGCTAAAAAAAGGATGAAATATTTTAAGGGGATTGAGTACGGCCAACAAATAAATCGAGAAGTCTTAATAAACATAGGTCCGCAAATGAGCCGTTTTGGAGATATTTGCAATAATATGATAACTTAATTTATCTAAAAAAAAAACTTCTTCATAGAGCATTAACCTCAGTAATCGTAACAACGAGGTGGCTCGTTTAATAGAAAAAGAAAAGTAATAAAAATTTTAAACATTAGAAAATAAAAATACCTCAAAAACAATGATGACTCATTTGTGGACCAATGTTTATCAAGACTTTTGAACGTAATTTTATTAAATTCTTTTAAAATATTTTATCCTTTTTTTCGACACCCTGTATAACACATGTGGGAATTACTGATGCTTTCTCACATGAATTTGTGCACATATCAACACATTTATACAATTTGCATATACATGGAAAATATATGTGTTCAATATGTGCCTAGATTCATATGGAAAAGCAACAGTAATTCTTAGGCCCGTATTCTGAACCCTCTTTTATTAATAAATGCGTCTTTAAAAGTGGCTAAGAAGTCTTCTGATTGGCTATATGCCACTTTTAGAAGCGCTTTTATCGATAAAAGTGGATTCCGAATACGGGCCTTAGTGTATATACGTAACATTGTAGAGCAAGAAATTATAGTGACGTTATGTAACTGTTGGTGTTTGCTGTGACATTGAGATTAAGATTAATGAGTTTAACTGCCAGTAGTAATATTCTTTTTATCGTTATCTTAAAAAATTGCCTGATTAATTTTAACTTGTTATTACCTGAGGATTTCAATTTTAATTCATTGCTCTCTAAGAGCATACGACGAGCGAAAATAAAATTGAGAATGAAAGGACTATCGGTCAGCGATCTCGACAGACATTTCCAGCTAAAAGTTAATCGATATATGTCATGCTAATCTCGCCTTGCACGATGTCAATAACAATTGTCCGACGACGATCTCTTAACAGGATTCATTCACGCAAAGTGTTGCCACTACAAGTCAAACGCGTTTGCATCGCCTTTTCTGCCAATCGTTCGTAATGGTCCCTTGATTAGCGCTATTTATCTATCATAACAGACGGCACGATTTAAAGCCTCAAAGCACCTAGGGCCTCAAAGATTCTATTCTCTTGTCGCGAACGAGGACGACGTCTGGCCGGAGTCTGGCCGAGAATTCGACAGACTGGTCTGCCGCGTCAGGATCTTACACCGGGACCCGGGCGTTTCTTCTTGTTTGTCTTTTTTCTTCGCGCAAAGCTCTGCTACCAAGATGCTTTCTCTTTTTATCTTCTCTCTCTTCCTTTCAAAAACGAGAAGAATACGTAACGTCGCCCATACAAAATCGTATCCAATTAAGCGCCGCTATTCGGGTATAAGTCCGCCCAAACGACCTCGACCTGCTTCTTCCTTTTCTTTTTCTTCTTCGTTTCCTCTTCGTTTCTTTGCGCAGGCGATTATCATTGGTGGACTAAGATATTTCACGAATTCTACTCCTTTCCTTTCTCCTCTCTCTACGCGAAAGTCGTGCGAAATTGTTCGACTTACATCGCAATGATCAATTTGATTGCCTTAACGGAACAAATGTATAATAAAATTATAGTTTTTAACCTTTGAACGTCTGGAGAGCATATTTATGACAGAGAACTACTATCGCTTTGCATGTAATTTAAACGTTATATAACGGTTTGAATAGGATAAAATCTTTTTTGCGCGAAGTGTTATGCACATATAGTTATATTATTGAGAATATAATTTGTGTCGATATTTCTTTACTTTTGCATGCTCTTGTAAATTATCTGGAAGGGAGACGAAATACGACAAAATGTGCGCGTGTAAACGGTGAATTATTTAATCACCTGCGACGTAAAATATAAATGTGATTTTTTGTATACGTAAAGATTGGTCACTTTTTCTACATATAGCAGGAAATCATATATAATGTGTAATGTAAATATACGCTATAAAGGTACGCGCTTCGACAAAGCTATTATTATTGAAACAATTATCATAGAACTGATGTTGTTTATGATAAAAACTTAATGTTACGTCTCGTAAAATGCTGATTTATTGCACGTACACAATATACCATATTTTTCCTTGGCAAAAAAATTTTTGTGAACTATTACAAATTAACGGTTGGCCGATTGTGTTAATTGTTACTAACAGTTAGCTGAACTAACTTATTATCAGGGACATATGCATATTTGAGAAATACAAAATGTGTACATGTGATCTTCAACGCGACTATATAAATCCCGTTAAATTTAATACTGTCAAAATTTATTAAATAAATATTAATGTTAACATATCACAAAAACTGGGAATTAATCCTTAAAATTTAACTTTTATTCTATTCTGTGATATAACCTTATATCTCTCTTCACACACATTTTATTTACAATTCTTACATTAAATTGCTAAATATCATTAGATACAAAATAACTTACCAGGAGAGGACACAATTAATTAATCACCAATTTATATTTTTGTAGCAGTAAATCTACATAAAAATAAATCGATTTGTCAGAGCTTTCGTCCATAATCCTTGTAAATAATATTTCTTATGCTTAAAATATGGTAGGACGGTATTGTAGTTATAAGATACGATTTTCTGAACAAGTTAGAATTCTTGTTGTTGGAACCAGAATTTCCTTGTGTTTCTCCTATTTCCTTCCTTCATCCAAATCTCGTACTTCATTATACTTTTATTTTTTTCTTCAAGACTGGAATTTCTACATACATTAAAGCGGTCGTTTGCTCCGAGAAGATCAACTTATTTTTAACAAATCCGCCATGTGCAAGGGAATTAAAATCGGCGATTAATTAAATGTATTCTTTCTTTGTTAAATCATACAAAAGTAATACAAATTTTTTCCTATTGAATAACTCGGCATAATAAAAAAGTTCTGCGATTCCCTGGCAAAATTTGTAAGTACTCACGAATGGACGAAAATAATCGTCCAGATTATCTTGACCAATTCGCGTAGGTGTATCTGACCAGCGTGTAGTGCTCGACACGTGTCTGTCCTCAATATCTCTCATTGCATCGCACTCTTGTTGTTGCAGAATTATCCGCGTGAATTTGTAAGTCGTCGAAATAAGTCTCAAACAGGTTTGTGGATTCAGCAATGTAGATATGAGGCGACTCGTCGTTAATTTCCCAAAATTCTCGTCACTTCATCGATCCATTGATCGGTCCGAGAGTTAGTGATCTATTTGGTAAAAATGCTCTGTAACGCTGTATCTCTATAAGCTACATAGTACTTGTAGAACAAGAGAGAAAGAGCAAAGGGCGAGAAGAAGAAAGAGTTAAAAAGTTACAGAGCTTGTAGAGAGAAAGTTTTCTCACAGAATACACTCCTCAAACTTACTAAAACGTAAAACTCATTCAGAATGTCCGAGAATTTGTAATGCAATAAGTCAATGATTGCATTACATCATAGAGACGGAGCTCATTCAATAAGCGAGGAAAAATTATAATTGATTACTAATTACAACTCGCAATGATAACTTTTTTATTCCTTGAAGATGGAAGATAACCTAATGTTTGAGCAATACTCGAGAGATAACTAAATTGTTTATTATTAATAAATTATCTCATCATTAAATCTATCTCCGTAAATTATTTATATTTGATTACAAAAAATAGATAGACGTTTAGTAGGTTAATCCCCAAGAAAGCCAATATCACACTTGTTATGTAATACTTGCTTATTCAATTAATTTTAACTGAAATTTAACTGAAAAATTTGTGCTGTGGAAACAAATTCTCAAAGATATTAAAGCAGATACGAAGTCGCATCCAATTTCCTTTCTGTAATATTCAATATTTTATCCTTAACGATTGAATATTGATTCTATTTTTTTCAAGCTAGTAAATCTGCTTATCTTCTTCTTTTGACTTGGCATTTTTCTTTAAGATATTTTTACGTTGATTTCTGTGACAAAGGAATCCTTTACATTTGAAAAGTGCAAATGTCTCACCTCAATAAAGATTCATTGCCTTTCAAAAGTGTGACATATAGTAAAAAGACTGACAACGGACTGACTTAATCTATAAATATTTAGATCAAATGCTTTGATGTGATATTTGTAAAATCAAATACTTATACAAGAGAGTTGTTTCAGCTTAATAATCTTTCTAACAAAAAGAGATATTTATGCTTGTTGAATATCGTCACTCTATGAAGTGTATATAATAAACAAAAATTTAATTTATTGCAAGATAGATTTTGTCAGCTATTTTATTTAATACTATATTTGTTAATTATATTATATATTACATATATTCAAAACATCTTATGTGTATAATAGTCATTGTAAATTATGCAATCTAGATAAAATATTAAATATTAGACAAATTGTATGTTTACATGAATTTACCAGATGAATTTTCAAATTAGAATTCTTTTCACCTTGTGTACAAATACGTTTCGATTGATTTTTACATAAATTCCATACATTAAAAAAAATCATTTCCTTTTCCGATTAGTACTGTATACACAAATTACATTACGAAATACAGCATTTTTATTATCTTTTCCACAGTATTTTATGTTTTATTATTTTCACTTTTTAGTGAATAAGGTGGTCTCGGTTGTTATATACCGTTCCACGCAGTTTTCCACGTAATAATATTTTTTCATGCAACTTACTCGGCAAGTAACGTATCGTTCAAGCTCAACACTTGGATGGTGATAGTGCACCAGCGAGTCATTACATTATCATGTGTACAAAGACCGGTTCATTACCGGTGAGCATAAATATTTTGGCGTTTCAATAAAGTTGTTAGCATGCAGCGAATATGAAAGGGCTTACCTTCTTGCGAGCAGTTGAGCTGATAAGCGTTGCCAATAAGAGGTAATGCTGTGGGATAGGGCACTTTTCTCAAAGCGTACAGGAATTTCCCACGTTGCACTAGCGGGATCACGAGAAGAAACAGCATACAGATTAATAGAAATACAGTCACCCAGTATCCTCCTGCCAGCAAGATCGCAACATTCATGTTGGATATTGATGTGCTTGATGCTTGCTCGTTATCGTTGGTTTCCTCCCTCAACAGGGTTTGCAGTGTGAAATTTTTTACTTCGACTGGGTCTTGTTTCTTCAGATTAGACACTCTTCTCGAGATCTGCGGAAAAGACCACGTAAAGGAATTCAGTCAGGATTCTCCTTAACTTTCGTAAGACTCGATGTCTGTCGTTGCGTGCGATCGTAGAGAGCGGATCAAGAGATCCTATCGCAGAGGTGTTCTCCGGCAAACTGCGCGAATAAACAGACGCGAATGCTCCTCCTCCGGGATACGAAACGCCGTTCTCGTGATCGTAAAGTCTGCCGGAGGTAAAAGTGACGGAGACTATAGAAGAAGAAGCAGCGCCGATTTTTCAACCCCGAGCAGAGTAGTGCGAAACAGATGGTTGCACAGCGTGACACCCTCAGAATATATCGGCACGGAAGATCTTGTCTTTATATATACTACTCCAGTGATAAAGCTCCTACACCAATAGAACGGCGAACGCGTGTGTGAGTCTGCATGCATTCGCGCAAATCGCACGTGGCTGTTATGTGAATACATGTGTACATATGTTGTACGTAGCAAAGGAAGTCTGACCCCCTCCTTGATATCGACTGGTAGCCCCGTTTAACTGCTCTCCCTCTATCGCAGAAGACCTCCAGACTTACATCGAGATGAGAAGATACGGTGGAGAGAGTGGGAATGCCGCCGATGTCGTAATGCCGGCAACGGTATTATTCGTTGTCAAGTGGCAAGAGCATTTCACATTCCGCGTGCGAACGTACCGGGAAGAAGGGAAGACTTTTTCCTATCTTGAAAAAAGATTGAGTTTATCGAAAGAAAATGTGTGCGACATTTGGTGATAATTTCGAATATATCTGATAAAATGCAGCGCAGCCGTGTATACTTTTCCTTCTTCTGTAAATGTATTTCCCTTCAGATATCACGAGACACGGTAGTGTCTCGCGCCAAGTATAAGCGTAGTTAGAAACGCGCGCACGAGACCGACCGTGTAGTTTACGCGAGTACGCGAGTTGATAGGCCCTCAGATTTTCGGATCACAACAACGGTCGATCCGACGAACTTCTAAGTGCGCTCAATCGAAAGCTTGGGTTTGTAATTTGTGCTTTATTATTTCTGACAAAAAATTGAAATGTCCACTCCTTTTTAGTTTTGTGTTATTTTTCCATGCGTAATTCCCATAAAAAAAAACTTTATAAAAACAAGAAAACGATATCATTAAGACAAAGTACTCATTTGGTAAACCTTGTTGCAATCTTGTTTGATCAAACTGCGAAGACACGTAACGATTGCGAAACTCGAAAGTGAACGTCGCCTTCACGTCACGATATTTATAGCTTGCGATGCAGGACAATGTACTAGTTTACTTTTCGCGGAAAGAAAAGAATTTTTACAATGTGCTATAATTAATACGATTTTGTATAGAAGAGAAGAACGATAAGTATTTCAAAAATACTCAAGGATTAGATCGACCAAGGCTGGCAGTTTTATTTTACCACGACGTTTCGGCCAGTAACACTGGTCCTTATCAAGTGGATCCTATTGCTTGTGACAACGAAGCATCTACAAATCAATATCTTAGTCAAGTATAAAACGGTAATAAATTGTAAAATATAAAACTATAAAATATAAAAAATGTAAAGCGGTAATAAATTATAAAAGGAACTACGAATAAATATCTTAGTCATAATATAAAACGATAATAAATTATAAAAGAAGAACTTACAGGAAAATGTAAAATTAGGCTAATCGTCATCGCATAGAAATGTACATCTTTCCACGTGTCGTGTCACCAAGAGACTAAAATAGTTGGAACAGAAAAAGGGACATTGCTAAGATCATCTCGTCATGACATATAGGAGGGGAAGAAGAAACAAATAAATAAAAATAAATACGAAATTATAGATAACTAGGTGATTCGAACGTGATTATATTATGACTAAGATATTTATTCGCAGTTCCTTTTATAATTTATTACCGCTTTACATTTTTTATATTTTATAGTTTTATATTTTACAATTTATTACCGTTTTATACTTGACTAAGATATTGATTTGTAGATGCTTCGTTGTCACAAGCAATAGGATCCGCTTGATAAGAACCAGTATTACTGGCCGAAACGTCGTGGTAAAATTTAAATAAAACTGCCAGCCTTGGTCGATCTAAAATTCCAAATTTGATAAGTATTTCTTATTTCGCATATTTGATTAGTTCTTTATCATGACATAATCTGAAGAAACAAAAGAACGGAATTGCAATTATGATTAAAGCAGAATGCGTTCTTCACGTGTGATGTTACTTTATCAGCATACAATTTCTCAACTTGATTGCGAGATGCTATTTTACAGTTACCAGAAGATAAGGAGACCGATCGTAAACCTGTATTAAATTACTATTTTCGACGAACACTATGATCACCTGATCACTGTGACACTAGTACTGTCTAGAAAATTATTGCTGACAACATTGACGTGAATATTAAATTGCGCGTTTAAATTGTTGGCGCGTGGGTTGTTATTTTGCCCATTTTTTTTCTCAATCCATTATTTATGGCTTACAGCAGTAACTTATTGTTAGTCTTGCGTTCACTAAAAAATTTTTGCTCTACACTATAAGCTTTAACCCTTTCTTCTTTTCATTTTTGTCTTCTTGCTACTTTGCTTATAGAGAAATAGCATAACGAAGAATTTTTACAGAATAATCACAGATTTAAATCCTGTATATAACTGCGTATCTACACGGAGAGAATTTTTTTTACATTTATCCTAAAAATCATGTAATTGTGGGACAACACAGTATTGCGAATAATTTTATGAGACTTTTTTGAAATTTAACCATACATTTTACTAGTAATTATACTTATTGTTAGTATAGATTTTACTAGCAATGGTAAAATTTCATAAAACTCATAAAATTCTTCAAAATGCCACGTTGTCTCACAATCGTGATTTTCGGGATAAATTTTAAGAGAAAATTCTCTCCGTGTAGAAGAAAGATTTAAAATTGATATCGACCAGATGCGTTTAAACTCATGAACTAAACTGATTAATTATATCTGCTGCGTAAATAATACTATCTAATTAAAAATATTAATTAACTGAATCTCGACAAAGTATTATTTCGTCAAAACAAGATATCGATTTGATAAAATTATCTTACAGTCATCAGTATAAATTGGAATAGAACGAAGAACTATTCGTTGAGTATAGAGCGTTTGACGACCTTGTACTGAAGTTACACGGAATAAATAAAAAATTTACATATTAATTCCTCGTTATCTGGGCAAGTTGATTTTTCAATTTTGAATGTTTCATAGGGCAAGCTTTGTGAGTTAAGATGCAAATTGGAAATTGCTTCCTTAAAATTTTAATTCGCGCACTTTTTAAAGAAGCTCAGAATGTTCAATGTCTCAATCAATTTATTCTGGTTTTTGATCCAAAATTTATCTTGAATCTTTACAAAGGCAAGATTACCTTCGAGACCTATCGGTCCCGACACATGTGCCTATTATGAAGCAACAGTGTGTCTCATTGTCAGATGCCTAACAACAACTTCGGAAGCATGCGGAGAAAGAAGTTGACATAGAAATAGAATGGCTAAGGTCAAAGATCAACCAAATACAAGGTGTCGCAGATATACGTATCGGCGATGGCCTTCAGCAAAAAGATATTCAAATGGACATTCAGATGATAAACGAGCAAATTGTATCTTGCTACATAAATCATGTATACCTACACCATTCATACACATATATGCGTATGTGCAAACACATGAAGTTAAATACATACGGAATAACCGTTAAGAAAAATGCAATTAATATGTCGACTGTAAAATACGCACTTCATCTTTGATTAGCAAAATCGAGTTCTCCCTCGCATATGAAAGCACAGCATATCTCATACTTCGCGATTATTATTTTAATAGCGGATTCCTAACACTTTCGAAGTCAATTTCTTTTAAAGAAAACATGTTGAACACCAGAAAAGTAGAACACCAGAAATCCAAGCAGAATCAATCAGAACTCTCGCTAGTAGTCGACAGTTTCTACTTTCTGCCAGCAGAGTATGCTATTTACTACCAGCGCGAGTGCTGATTGGCTTCTACTTATAACTAATAATACTAGGCTCGTATCTGTTTAATAAATTTTAATCAAAGTTTAAAAAACTCGCGCGCAATCTCGAAGCAACAAGCGATACTTAGCTCTGAGGAAGAACGAGTGAGGCGATTTTTTCGACTTTCAATTCAAATTGTTTGTCTTAGCAACGGTTTGTGAGTAATAAAATAAGAGTTAATTAACGTGGTACCAAGAGTGTTCGAGTCAGTGTTAAAAAAAGGAGGAGAAGTAAATTCTTTAAGGCGGCTTAAGCTATCGTATATCAATCTAAGAAAAGGACAGTTTTGTGCCGTTCTCAGACACAGACGGCTCAATACCATTTTCAAAACTCTGTCTTCTACTTCAAATTTTTCAGGCGGCATTGTGCCATGTTCTGGACTGCCCAACGTCAAGGTAACTCAGGCGGTGTGATTCTCACATATTCTCACAATTCTCACATAAATAATTTTACAAAATAACTACCTTACCTAATCAGAAATTATTCATCAAAATGATATTGATTGAATATCGTTCATATAGAAAAGATGTCAATTCGAAATTTGCGTCAAAATTTTGAATTTTTTGAGCAACATAAAAGTGTGTTTATAGAAAATTTATTGAAAGTTTTATGTAATTTTTGATACTTAAGGTAAATATATTTTATATATAATTTGATATTTTTTTATTTTTTATTTTTTATTCAGGGATCGAAACTATATCGTTTTGATATCATTTCGACATCATAATGTAGGAGAAATTGAATGTTGGAACGACATTGAAACAATGTCGATTCAGAAAAGTATCTGATTGGTAAAATATTGTGCACATGATCCATGCATATATGTCTATATACATATAACCTAGTATGCACGCGCCTACGATGATACATCTTCCCGCCTTCAATTTGCCTTTGCCTTTTACTCATTGAAACTATAGGGAAAGAAATTTACTTTTCTGATAAAACATTCTAACCAGGATTAACTGTTGTTATATAATATATAACAAGCAGTTATAACAAAGTCATTTATTAACACACAATGGAAAAAAATCCGGTAAGTTTTGTAAATTACTATTTTTGGTTAGGCTATTATTTTTATTAGTAATTTTCTTAGACTTTGCGCACAGTGTAGAGAAAATATTAGGAATAAGAATAAATATTAATCATTAGATAGGCCTACTGCACAAATACTTATACACAATAAGAATAGAGAATAAAAATATCCATTACCAGAAGCAGATAGATATTGGGAAACAATAGATGTTCCCTGCTTCTATTAATGAATATTTTCTATTTTTTATTCCTATTGCTTAATTATACTTTTGTATTGTGCAGAAAACCTAATGCTTAACCCTGCAACAGGACTCTGTTTTTCGACCTCCAGTAACGGGACTCAAGGGGCATTGGTGTCCGCGATGATTTAAATAGTCTTAAAGTCAACAAATAATTCTGAAAAAATTCATAGATGTTCCTTGACATCTTATTTATTAATTACAACAATAAAAACATAATAAAGATTATTTTGTCATTAAAAATTTTGATTTTGAACAAAGGAAAATGGAAAAAATCGGAGTAAATTTATAAAATTCATAACTTTTGTTAATTAGTTTATAAAAAAAATCCTACTTGGACTTTTTACTTAAGGGTAGGTACTTTAAGAAAAAAATATAGGAAAGTTCCAGTTTTTAAAAAAGGGTATTTATTTTGAGAGTTGAATATCGCTTATCTTCTAATGGTGGCTTATGGAACCTAATACTGAAAAATATAAGATATGAATGATTGAAATGAAAAACTCTGTAGGTAAGTTGTCAAGTATTGGCATTTATATGAAATTAACATAAAATTACATAATTAATAACATAATGTTACATCATTTGAAATTTTACGAGCATTCTGGACAGCACGCAAGTCGATGATCGTCACAAACCGATTCTTTGCATTTACGAGGTCTGTTCAAAAAGTATCGCGAATTTTGTGTTTTTTCAAAAATTATTTATTTATTCGTGAATATCTATGTTGTCCCCTTCAAAGTAATCCCCATTAGATATTATACACTTGTGCCAACGTTTTTTTCAATCTTCGAAGCACTTCAAAAAATCCTTTTTTGTGATCTTGTTCAGCTCCTCCTTCGATGCCGTCTTTATCTCCTCAATCGTGGCGTAGCGTCGTCCTTTCATGGGCCTCTTCAGTTTCGGGAACAAGAAAAAGTCACAGAGGGCCAGGTCTGGGGAATACGGTGGCTGCGGCATCATTGGTGTGTTGTTTTTGGCCAAAAATTCGCGTCGAAAGTGAGCAATTTTGGTACGAATTTCGCGGCGACCCGTCTCATGCCCAAATCATTGGTAAAAATCGAATGGCACGAGCCAATCGATATGTTTAAGTCCTCAGCAACTTCTCTAACGGTGATTCGACGATCAATACTATTTTCTTCACTTCATCAATGTTTTCGTCTCTTATTGACGTGCTCGGGCGTCCGGCACGCTCTTCGTCGTTCACATCTTCTCGGCCCTCTGAGAACATTTTGTACCACCGATAAATGTTGCTTTGGTTCAAGGTAGCTTCACCATATGCCACAGTCAACATTCGGAATGCGTCCGCGCACTTAATTTTGTTTTTCACACAAAATTTGATACATATTCTTTGATCCATTTCTTGGAATAGGCAAAAATCGAAGACGAGCCAAAACACGTCCAAGCAAAATAGCTGTCAAAAATTAACTGAACATTCAAAATGGCCGAACTTGTCAGCATGAGTGAGGGACATGAGTACCAACATAACGCCACAAAAAAATCGAAAATCGAATATACGTAGTCCGCGAAAATTCAAAATTCGCGATACTTTTTGAACAGACCTCGTATAACAGCAGAAGAACGTTTTCCTGTCTGCTTTGGTTGGGCAGAAGTGACATCTTTTTCTTTTTGGCATTCTGTCGCTATTTTAGACTCATATTTTACTCATATTTTCATATTATTTTCATATTTTAGACTCATTTTCGCACTTATCGACTTCAAACCTTTAAAAACATTTATATTACGAGTTAAGAAACATATTTGTAAAAACACTTTTTTTAAACGGATTTTACATACGTTAGTAGGACTCATGGGTCACTCGTGCCTTTCGGAGATCCGTTCTCGCTGCCAGTCGCAGGTATACTGGCGGATTCCGGCCATAGACATATAAAAGATAGACTGCTCATGAGGTAGTGGGGGATGTCCTCCTGAGGGAAAAGGACAACACCAATTTATTTGGGTATCTATCTTCTTCTAGTGTACGTGATCACGTGGGCGTGATCACGTGATCGCCTTCAGATCACGTCCGCTAGAGGAAGACAGATACCCAAATAAATTCATGTTGTCCTTTTCCCTCAGGAGGATGCCCCCACCTAGGGTTCCGCTGCCTCATAAGCAGTCTATCTTTTATATGTCTATGATTCCGGCGCGCTGGCGGCCACATTCTATCCCCACCCCAAACTTTTTTTACATACCAATACAAAGGGCCCGGGCCTAACGGTTTTCCCAGGGATTCGCATTTTCAAAACACAGCGGGCACGAATGACCCATGAGTCCCGTTGCAGGGTTAATATTTATTTATATTCCTAATATTTTCTCTATTGTGCACAGGGGCCTTAGTCTAGTGTAATATAAGAGATTTTAACTCTTGTTTTTTATATTTTATCTATTTTAATATTTTAGTTAGTCATATAAATAATGTCAGTGCCGGTTTTAGCAACATTGGCACCATGAGCAAGATTATCGTGGCACCCATTCAAATTCAAGGGCTCGAAATTCTTGAGAAAGACAGGACAGGCTGATAATATCTAACGACGAACCCCACTTTGTTTTTATATTTTAGGGAATCTCTCTCACTCTCAAACTAGGTGAAACCAGGCAACGGCGCCCCTACAGATTTGGTACTCTGGGCAACCGCCCAACCACGCCCCGCCCTAACATCGGTACTGTATAATGTTATATCTATTAGAATTTACAACATGGTATTTTTTAATATAATAGAAACGTTTCCAAAACATTATATTAATTCAACATAGTTGCAACAATTTTAATGTTACAAATTTTATTGCAACCTTTACATGTGACCGATAGATGTCGTAATTTCTCGTAAGAGAAATTCATCTAGTCACGATATTAAGAGAAGCCTGATTTGGAGTGCAATTATCTGATCAACACTCATCAGCTGAACTGACTAGAGGATATGTTCCTGAAAAGAGGATATGTTCCATGAAAACGTTACCTGGGTGAACTGTCTCTTCCGTTTTATGGAATATATTCCGTACTTATTTGCAATATTGAAGACAATAAACAATCTCTAACAATACTGTTAAAAGAAAGTCTAAATATTTCTTATTCAATGGATATTTATTCAATGTTACCTATGGAACATTATATTAAACATACAAGAAAAACATTATTCACAATGTACACTCCCATTTCAATGTTATTACAATATTAAAATTAGTGTCAAAGTTTCTTTATAATGACGTCGATTACAACGTTAAAACCCACATACTGAACAATGTAACATGTCAATGAATATTGTTATAATAATGTTATCGTTACATTAATGTTTATTTGTTCACTGGGAATTGCAGTACTTAACTTCTTTTCAACTTAATTTAGTAACATTGTAAATATTTGAATAATAACAGATCTGTGCTCATCATATAAGTGTAATTGGATAATTAAATAACTAGAAATCAAAGTATCGAATTTGCAGCAACTTCTTGGCAACTAGCTGGTTGTATAATAGGGATATTCCGATGAAACTGATATACAGTAGTCCCCCGTTTTATTTCCGTTGAATATTTCGTCATCCACAATCAAGTCAGTTTTGTTAGAAAAACAACCTAAGCTGCAAAAATATTTAATCATAATGATACTAGTAGATACTCATAAAATATATAATGGAAATCTATAACGAAATAATTCTGAGCAAAAGTTTTTTATATTTTATTCATATATACCTCTCGAGAAATGGGAGAAATGGATTTCTTACAAGTCTATATCTGAAAAAGAATAAATATAAATATACATATAGGTCTAACAATGTAACTTAATTCTATTGTATATTGTATATTAAATAAGTTCAATTTGAAACGATTTGATTTTGGTCCATAAGAATTCATGAAAGTTGAATTGATCTTAAAAAAGCTTGATTGTATTATTATTAATTAAAACTACAAACTTACGTCGTACGAACGCCAACAAATGAATAATTATTTAATAATATAACGTAATCAATGGCTCTATAATGCGAACATCTGGGAAGCAAATTAGTTAGGTCACTCATGCCTGTAACAAAAATGTTTACTTTAATCGTGACTTCTTTCTGATGGCTGTTGCTCTAACAATTTCTTTAAATATTTTAGTTATAATATAATAATTATTTACCACATCCTGGTTGGACGGGTCCATCATTGAACCACAAATCGAGGTCAGCTATAGATCTTTGTATCCCAAAAACGGACGTGTGTAAAGCTATTACACGTTTGGCATCTGTCTTGCAAAACCTATTCGAGCAATCAACAATCTCGAAAGGGAGAGCTATAGGATCAGCACCAATGAGAAGCGGAGGTTTGTCGTACCCCATTGTATATAGCTTCTTCGCGGCGAAGCCACTTATATGCGCGCCAAGACAGTGGCCCATAAGTGTAATGTTTCTCATTGGAACACCGCACACGTCGATCACTGATTTGATAAAACTAAAAGAGAAATTTTGTACCACCATATGTATAAAAGAAATATACAGGGTCTTAAATTTCAAACGTAATAGGTGGAATATTTCGTAAACAATGCATTTTAGAAAGAAATGTTTCCTACAAAAGTTGTAGGGTTTCAGAGGGAACATAACAGTAATATTCGTATAACCTTGGGCGGCGTCTCCAAAGTCAAGTGGAGGTGAGAACAAATTTTTTTAATGGAAACCTATATTTTTTATTATAACATATTTTTTTACAAATTAATTTGAACAACTTTTATCTGAAGCATTTATTTACTTGATATTTTTTGAGATATTCAATAAATACTTGGTAACTCTTTCAACATTCAGTTTACGATATTGAAGATTAAATGGCGGAATGAAAGGACTCAGAAAAGAAAAAATAAAATAATGAAGTAAATAAGAAATACTTTTATTTAAAAAAAACAACGTTTTGGTCCCAGATTTGAATCCTTTTCAAGTAATCTGCAAACGTACATAACTTAGTACTAAACTAAACTTAGTACTAAATTAAATTTTTTATATATGAAACCTTTATCCTTGTTTATTCGTAATATTTATTACTTCATAATAAGGTCTAGTGCTAATGACTCTCTTGCTTGTACATACACAGCTTACTAACGTAACGATATTGGCCAAACGAACGATATGAGATCATTAACAATTGTGTGAACAGGTATAAATTTGTGATATACCTTCGTTATAATTACTTTTTATTTCATATATAAAAAATGTTTAGTGCTAATTGTTATGTGCGTTTGCAGATTACTTGAAAAGGGTCCAAATCAGGAACCAAAACGTCGTTTTTTAAAAATAAAAACATTAGCCAGTGTAGGTCGTTTAAAACTTACACATCATTGTTCGCTTGATTGTCATTGTATATTTTGACATAATATACCGCACAAAGCAAAAGTTTAGTAGGCGCTGTACTTACTTGCATTTAATATTAATTATTGGTATTATTTAAATATTATTAGTACTGTGCAGAGCTTGGTATCTTGACTTTTTTCATCAAAGATATGGATGTAAGATAAATTTTCAATCAATTCAGTGAAGAGATACAGATACAAGTTGTATTTCTTGAATTTCTTTGATTTTAAATATAGGTACAAGATACGCTGAATTATTTTTCCGGAGAAATACATCTACAGATATATGTATATAGATAGTACCTGTATTTATATCTGTTTAATATTTTTTTAAACATACCAAGCTCTGGTATTGTGTTATGTGAAAAAAAGATTTAAATTACAATTAAAATCGTCTGTAGTAAAATTTATATTTAATATACATATTTTTTTCTTTAATTTGATGTATCGTAGCATAAAGTAGGTCATACCTTGCTAAGTATACCTCACCAACTATGCGAGAGTTTATTGCTGCAAAAGGATATGTAGGCCGATTTAAGGTGGTTGGATCATTACGACATGATGCATTAGCCCAATCTATCGAAAATACTGTGTAATCCTTCTGCAAAAAAATAATTTATTCTATTAACTGATTTTATTATACAGGGTATTATGTAATATCCGCCTTACCTCTTATTTACGGATAGAGAGGACTAGACTAACAGTAAGTCTGTATGTAAATTTTATGTGTTACAATAGATAAAAATTTTCAAAATTGAAACACTATTGCAACAGCATATTCCTGAGACCAAATCAAGTAAAAAAGTCCTGTACTACTTTTCCCTCCGACAAACAGTTATCGAGATATCATAAGCTAAACATTGAAAAAGTTATAAATTTTCTCTTGAATATCTCAACAAGTATTGGGCAAATCAAAAAATGTTTCAGACAAATGTTGTTCATAATTTATTATTATTAATTAGTAGAATAAGATAGTATAATAAACAATAAAGGGTTCCATTTAAAAAATTAAAGGTGATCTTTAAATGACTCCCAGGTCAAGTCAGTGGCTCCACCTTATGTCCCCCTTCGAACCAAATAACTTTTGTTTGAAACGTTTTTCCATATCTTTCATATTTTTGGAGATATTTGCGTGGATTATTTAAAATGAGACACCCTGCATACATGTATACAATAAAAACAACTAATAGAATAAATTATTTTCTTATATCACACCCTACAAGTAATACAAAAATTGTATAATATAGGGTTGGCACCTAATATCGCCTACCAAAATTCAAATTGTTCTCATTTAAAGAGTACTTGACATTTTTGTCTGTAGTCAGTCTCAAATGAAAAAGGAAATATTTGTGTTTTATGTACATATATACAATAGGTTAGAACGGTTTAAATCTAAAAAATTTTAACCCACACCTTATAAATCTTTATAAAATTATTGTGTATTATTATGTATGAGTTTGTAAAACTACAGCTATTTATTATTTTACATCATATAAATGTTTGTTGGTGTTCAAAACGTTTTTAATTTGTGATAGTTAAAAAAAGTGTTAAAAAAGTTTTTTTATTATACATATATGTATAACACACTATTTTGAAATATTTATACATTGAGTCAATTTATACTCTTTTTTAAATCTCTTTTATTCTTAAAAATGCATGCATATAATATCGCCTAGGCGCATATTATTACGGACTCTTACATAATATAATAATATGGTTGGCGGTATTGAGTGCATTTTAATCTAGACACTAAAAACATTGTAACAAATCACTAATTATGTATTTATAGTAAATATTTATACACTAAAAGAATGTTTGCACTTACATTCTTACTGTGCGATGGCGAACTTGCACTGTCTACTAAATTTTTCAACATTCAAAATTTGTTTTAATGCGTCTCCTGAGTCAGACATTATTTCTACAACGTTGTAACTACAATATGTCTTCTTACATATATTTAGCTACTCATTCTATATATTACCAATAGATATCAGCACTTTGTTCACAAGATATCACGACAGGCAATATTATGTTCTCGGCGATATTAGGAGAAATATGTACTATGTTTCAATGTTATTCGTATAATATATTTATAAAAAATTTATATTTACTTTTATTAATGTTGACGCAAGAACGGAGAAATTATATGCGGTTGCATTTGAACGATAACCATTGCTCAGAAAAATTACTGGTTTCGACGGATCAAAAAGATTGCAGGATTTGTTTACTTCGACAACTTGGCCATTTGGAATATTACTGTAAAAATGCAAACATTAGTAATGTAAGATATAAATTAAGAGTGGATATGTGCGCATGTTACCTTGTGAACAAAACCAACGATACAGATTTGACGCCGTGGACACAGGAATTCGGAGGAAAAAAAAAGTCTGCAACAAGCATCATAATTATGGCCTGGAAAAGGTTATATGCAAAAGGAGGTATGTATAGTCAATGTTGAAAAGAATCGGTTAATATACTAAAGCAATAAATTCACTAAGTGTATTTGTACAAAATTTGACATTAGCGATGTTGCAAAAAATATATGATATTTTACATTCTTAATGTATGTAATAATGAATAATTTAAAATGTTTGTTGTACTGATAAAAATAACATTGATATATCTATTTTTGATATTATTGCATAAACATTATTCTTCAAAGTTTAGATGATTAAATTTTAAGATTCCAAGGAAATGTAGACTTCCTCAGGGTTTCAAGAATAGTTTACAGCATAATAATTACAAAATTTTGAAAAATATTTCTTATGCTCGAAGATTCTAGGAATTTTCTTCACGAATTTCAGCAATCTTAATATTTTAAGGGCTACAGAAAAAATGAAAAAGGTAATTTTTATATAATTAGAAACGTTATAGAGAGTTAATATTAGTCTTCAAGGGATACTTTTTGTCACTTTTTAGCACAAAAACTCTTTCTAAAATTAATTAAAAACTCTTTAAAAAATATAATTCTAAGCATATTTATTCATTTCGAAAAAAAGTAAAGAAACTTTACAAAAAGTATGTTATTTTTCGGTAGAACTGCGTTTTCTTTAGAATATTAATTATGGAATTTTACGAACCACTTATTGAACTCCAGTTTATGTTAGAAGACGTTGTCTGTAAGAAAAAAGATCAGTAAATTACAGAAATCGAATTCTGAAATATACACATATTTATATATGGATGTCCCTTTATAAATTACCACTCCTTTTGATTTTCTCACTAACTAAAGAGATAGATCTAACAAATATAATATCAAATTAAATGGTTTTAATTAAACTCTATTGTAAGCATAGTGGGAGGGAAAATTGCAGGATAGATATTTGAAGTGGTTATTGAGGGTGGAGAGATACTCCAGGGTGTATAGTAAGAGAAGAACTACAAAAACAGATGTTAAAAGGAAGGGCAGGAATGAGGTGCGAGAAGAAATTGAAGGAGGAGAAGGGGGGCAACTGGCAAGGAAATATTGGGAAGAATGGTGGAAAAGAGCGAAGGAAGGAAAAACAATGAGGGGTTGGGAAGAAGAAAGGAAGGAATATTTGGAAAGGGGAGGATGGAAAATAGAGGAGATGGACAGGTTGAGGGAAGAGGGTCAATGGAGAGGAGAGATACGTAATACGTAATGATTAGTCTTTTAGATCACTTTTAATGTACCTATGCCTTTGGAAACCGGACAGATCGAAAGAATGAGGACTTCCATATTCATTTCTAGAAGTGAGAAAATATACGCTTACCGTGTTGGAATCATTGTTCACGGCCGCTATTGAATCGAAGAGGCCGCAGAGCAGCACGAGAAACGATGCGATCATAACCAGCTGCATCATTGAGTGTGTCCAGAAAATGAAGAAGCAGGTGTTTTCAAAGTATTATCGTTCTACAATATGTATATACAGTTTTCTGTAAAAAATGAAAATTAAAATGGGAAATACGTAGTCTATAGGTATAATAGAACATTGACACATCATCGTTCGGCGACTGCTATTTATTACCTTCCAGAGAACTGAAAAAAGGGAAATGGTATAATTGGTGCAATAAAGAATAATAGGAAATATAATAGCGCAAATGTGCGTATATTTTTTTCAAAAAATTAGAGGAATACATTTATGTAGATAATAAAACACGTTTTCGTACGACGTAGTCACGTAATGAAGGTCACATAAATTGGATATCCTTTGCATTTTCACATTTTGTATATCGCTGTAAATAACTGCAATTAAGACTTACATAACGCATTTTCAAATAGTACATCGAACATTTGTCACAAGTTAGTATTCTTATGAGTTCGTAAAAACATGTCTGCAACGTGTTGATTAATGTAAAAATTAAAAAAAGCTGTTTTTTAATATAAAAATGCTATTTATGATAATACAAATGATTAGAGAAGATTCGGTTTCTTAATCTGGCTAGATCTTGGCGAGCTAATATTGATATTTCTGTGTTAATGTTTAATAATTGTTTATAACTTTTTCCAACTCCATAAACTGCGCGTCAATTATTTGTTGTTCTTAAAACACAGCTTTCGTTGAAACAGTAAATCTACATATCTAATTGAATGAAACAGAATTTAATATGATGCAATCTCAAGAGTATTAAAAATTAAATCGATTATCAACTTAAAGTATATGGATCCAATCCAAACGAGAACGACATCTCTATTTATTTGTATTAAATTTACATCAGTTTTATTTTAGTAAATATGACAATTTGTTATCATGTATACACAGCCAAATACTGCTGCGCATATCGAATTTTTATGTTTCCAACGAATCTAATGGGAAATAAAAAATAATGTTTGGAATATTTGGGATACTCTTATGCTGCTGCTAGATATTCTTCCTAGACATTTTTCACGCATAACACAATGCCACACGTTAGTGATGCATTAATTGTCCACATGAATCCGTGGCAATTTTTACAATCTCTGAATATATGTATAATAGTACACAGTGTTGAAGTAGTCGTACATTATATGAACCACATTTAACTGCCTTTTGCCATTAAAATGAAATAATTTTATCACACGGTAGTTTGATGAGAAATTTACGAAGTTATATAAAATAACAATTGGAAAAAAGCAAAATTTTATACATGCATTTTTTCAAATATTGTTATTTTTATTTGCACTCGTTTATTTGTGTATGATTTATATTTATTGTAATTCACTTACAATTAGACACAGTGCATTTCAACAGTTTTCGATACATTTTAATGTTTTTAGCATGTATAAGATGTCAATTGGAATATTGTTAATTCTGACTATATTTTACAATACAAATTTACTATATTTTTACAATAAATTGACAGAATGTAATGATTTAAACACAATTCTGCAGAAGAGAGTCATCATATTTTTATTAGTATACATATAATGCAAAGAAACCGTGTACGAAATAACTGGAAAAAAAGAAAAAAAATGTCTATAATGATTGTGCGACGATGTGATATGACAGAAAATTCTGATGGGGGCAGCCATATTCGTTAAAAAATTCTTCTTAAACTTAATATAGAAACGTTTTATTAAACTTACTACTTTCAAATTATAATATTGATACACCCCCATATTAATCATAAATTTCTATTTAATTATAATTGACACTGATAACTAATTTCGTTTTCTAATTAAATGTTTTAACAAGATATTTAATTTAGAATGTAATAGAATTTTTTTACATGTCGGATATCGTAATTATAACAGACTAATGTACATTTAGAAAATCCCTCTTTACAATCTTAATTGTATAAACTTCTCAAAATTGAAACGTGTGTTTATGCAATGTAATAAACGAGGTCGTATTTAGTGTCAAAAGACTTCTGGAGAAACGTAAGTTTTACTCTTCTATACATATTTCATACGAACATTTATTTGTCTCATTTGTGCCGTAATTATCACAAATAAGTCTTATGCATTATGAGAGACCTTGAAACGTTGTGTGTTAACACTTTGACTGCCATATTATCTTCATTTGGACAATGCCTGAGTTTACGTAAAACCCACGTAACATATTTGTAGGTGAATTTTATTAATCCAATTAAAAATGTAAATTTACTACCTATTTATTAAGACATTTAATAAACTCCAAAATATTAAAATAATACTCTAGCTTGATTAAAAGTATTAAAGATTCATTTTTTATTTTTGGGTTCATAAATTTTGTAATTACAGAAAAATTTAAAACTTTGGTTTGTGAGTGACAGTTTTATTTAGTCTATCTGAAAGTGCATTGTTAATTTATGATATTATATGTTAGTATTAAATACATAGTAAAAGATAAATAATATATACAATGTTTTATTTAATTATTTTTATCTGTTCTTATCTTACTTTTATTGATGTCGTTTATTTTGTAATCTGATTCTATGTATGTACTTTATAGACAACTATGCACTTTTTAAGACTTTGTGTCTCTCACAGAAAAGTATGTTCAAGAAAAGCACGATCAATTATGTCTCATTATTTCGTACTAACTCGTTTTCCTTTCTCAGAAAATACAGCAACAAGGAAATATACTATGGTTCTGAAAGACGTTGCTTCAGCATATCCTATTGTCGGAATACGTGATCTCCGTGTCGAGAAAAAATACAAAATTTGATTTCGCAAGTTGGAGCTGCTGTCGTGAGAGTGACATTTTCTTTTGTTTGTTTTCTTACTTCCTCTTCCGCCTTCTTCTTCGACCGTCCACGGTCGTTTCCGCGATTGTGCGCATCGCATATTGCCATATCAGTAAAACGGTTTATCATATACATAATACCGGTGTTACAACATAAGTGGTTAAACAGTATTACGTGTCCAAACATGTATCTTATTCCGCGCAAAAACCCAACACCAATTTTATTGCACAACTAAAATTATATCATTTTGCCAAAATTGAAAAAAATAATTATCATATTTTAAAGTTCGGAGAATTGTGGAATATCTGTGGAGAAACTCTTTTAAAAAGAATTCAAAGTAGATTATGTTATTTAAAAACTTATTAAATTAATTTTGTGACGTTCATTATTATTCAAAATATCTTCCCATGTCGGATGAATATCGTTTGTCAGAGTAAAATTATAAAACATTAGAAACCAATCTCACAAAATATGAATGGCCTAATTAACAGTGTTTCGTTCGCGCAACCTAATCTACACTCTGACCTAAAGTAAGCTTCTAAACGAAACGTTTACATTATTTCCACCTGTAATACTTTTTCGAGTCTAATATAGGTAACATAAGTAAAAATTAAATCCAGCTGTGAACGCCTTTAATTGAACGTCATCTGTTTAAATTTGAACAAATTTAATTTAGACCACCTGGGACTCTATTCTGTACTTGGTTAACGACAACTATCGATATTGTTAACAATGTTTGCACAGTTTTTTTTACACGGTAGAAAAGCTGCGCAAATGTCGTTAACGATATTGATAGTCGTCGGTAAATAGTAATAGAATTCGGCATCTGCGTTTACACGCGTTAACGCCCGGCCAACGTCAGATCAGGGCAAGCAAAAAGGCCTAGTTTACACGGTGTCTTAGCTATACCTTATATTCGATAGGTTGTGATGGTGTAAACAATTAAGAAATGACTCGATCTGGCTTGGGTCAGGTCTCTTTTTCACTTTCCCTGACTGACCCCTCTGATCTGACGTTGGCTGTGCAATATAACGCATGTAAACGCTAAGGTGACTTAAAATTGCTTACTTAAAATTGTCGATAGTGAAAACAAGGCTTGTAGCAAAAATCTATAGTTGACGGAAGCAAAATAACATAGACGTAATATAAGTGGAGAAATGTATTTTTCGTTGAGCAGCGAGAAATCTGAAGGGAACACGTTACTCGTTATATCCGAAGGTCATAACTTATAAACTTCCTCCTAGTGAGAAGGAGGTCCAGGTTCAAACCCTGGATGAGGTCAATTTTTCACAATAAATTAAAAAATTAAAATCATTTAGACATTAACATCCTGTCTTGGCTTTTATATCCTTTATTCCTTTCAATTATAATTTTATGTTAGAGCCTTATGAATTTTACTGCTTATAAAATTCCATTGCTTACAGAAAGTTACCTTGATGTTAAATATAAATTAGATATTCGTCGGTGCTTTAAAAATACAATTTGTGTAAAAAGAAATGTATTGATTTTAAATAAACTTACTTAAGTGCCGGAGCGGATGTAAAAACGTGACGTTTGGGCTTTGATAATTTCCTGTTAGTATCTTCGCTTGGTGAAGGTTGATCGGAGACTGAACTAACTGTACGCTGTTTCTATAGAGGTCAAGATATATAAATAAATGTAGAAGGTGGGGGGACAAACGCAGAAAGGTGTGATACTGATTATATAATAGCATTTTATTGTCTATGTGGTAGTTTTTAATTTGTTGTTTAATGTGGATCATTTTACTAGTGAACCCTCGGTTATAATTATGTTCTACATGCATCCAAAATTATACCTAATATTTTCCCAATCAAATTCGTTGTAGAGGGCGATATGGTTTGTGACTACAGAATGTTGTGACTAGATAAGCAATTTTTCACATTAAAAAATTTTCCTTATAAAAGCATGTATAAATCCATAAAATTATACAGAACTGTGTAGAATTGTATAAAATTATATAGAAATATGCAATGTAAAACTATATATGGATATATTTGATGTATATTTTTATATAATTCTGTTGGTTTTGTAATAAATGATAACTATCTTGTATAAAATAGTATTTATATTTTAGTGTAGCTGGGACTTACAGTGCGTATGTGCAGACGGGCGAAGAAGGTACGAGAGAGGACGGAAGTGTAGCGCCATAAAATAAATAAAAATATAGAGTATAAACTGTATGTTTGTTTTCTGTTTCTGCACTGGTGAACTAGTACAGTAAGCTAGAATAAGAAAAAATATACTTGTCTTACTCTAATTTATTGCACTAGTTCACCAATGTAGCAACAGGAAAACAAGCCTTATGTTTC